TAGAAAAATATGTAAAGTAGGAATAAAAATTAATAGGAATAGGAAAATATTTCATGGAAAGCTATTTAAACATGGCTCAGCCAAAAATAGACATCTTTCCAGCTCAAACGAAAAATTAAATATTTATTATGTGAAATTGCAACTAAAAATAAATACTAATAACGAACTTAAAATTGTCGATCACATTCTGGACCAAATAAAAGACCAGAGCCATTCGAGTCTTCAACGTTGACATCTTAAACGCTTTTAAAATAAAAACAAATAACCGTTGTTTCAGATTTGTAGCGTTTAATTAGACTTTTCCGATACCCCGCTATTCGATGCGGGGAGAAATCAAAAAGTTATTTTGTTCGTTGCGTAGTATTCAGATACGAAATATGAAGTAATTATTAAAACGTATGATAGCTAATCGTTATTTTCTATGAAAGAGCTAGACTCCAATAAAATTTATTAGTTTTTTTATGTGATAAAGTAGCAAACGAGCTGGCGGTTCCCCTGATTTTAAGTGATAACCGCCGCCCGTGGATATTTGCAACACCCGTAGGGTTGCATATGCGTTACCACCTCTGAAGAAAGTGGGCCCCGGCTACCTCACTCAGCAGACGAAACGCAGAAGTGTTACTTCTACTTCACGCTGGTCTTCTGTGAAGTCTTGACACTAACCCGGACAGACCTGCCCATTCGTGCAACAACGAACACTGTTGCGTGGTCCTACTACAGTTAAAACTTTATTCTAGATTGAAACTGAAACTTTGACGGCCCAAATGGCGTAATAGTTAGTGTACCTGCCTTCTGCGTCAGAGGGTGTGGGTTCGACCCCCACTACTGGAAAAATATTGTGTGTCGAACATAGTGTTTTTATAGTGTCTGGGTGTTTATATATGTATAATAATTATGTATGTATTAACAAAATCAAAGTATGTTTACCAGTTATCATTAGATAACTTAACCAATGCTTGTACTATGGGTACTAACCCATAGTATAAGCGTTGCTTAGTTTGGGACTAGAGAACGTTGTCTTAAAATGTGTCTATAATATAAACTTTATTGCTTAAGTGACGAATAGTTAATCCACTAGCTTAAATCTACGGCCTCACCTCACCTCCTGTGACAATACCTTCAGATATTCATTTCAAATAATGATGTATATTATTTTGGTTCTTGCGCGGCATCCAAAAGTAAAATACACGAAAATGTTAATTTGACGGCTCCATGGCGCAGTTGCGAAGGTACTGGCTTCGGCGCCGGGAGTCATTGATTTGATTCCCACACGGGACAACTATTTTTACTAACACGTGAAAATTATGTTTGTCAAACGTCCTTACAACACAGGATAATGACATCCTACAGAAAAAGCCATATTTAAAAAAGTAATTGTGTGTTAACGTATGAAGTTACACTTTTTTAGCGTTACAATATAAATGTAAATAATAATTTTATACAATGTGCCAGTACTTTTTGTTTGTGTAAAATACTTTAAATGCAATTGATAACTAAAACAATTGATAACTGTTTAACTAAATAATTTGGAACTGTAGATAAATATCAAAAAGTTATTATTGGTTGAAATGGTAACACCGTGAAGTTAATTAAGTTTTTATATGTATTGTTGATGAACTTCATCATTTCGCTTTTTGGCCGTCGGTGTGCCCGCGCATTGTCAAAATTTTATTCTCATAGATTTTTCCAAACGGAAAGAACGGATGCCAAAAGAAATGTAGCCTAAAAATAGTTTAATAGAAAAAAATATTAAAGCTTGTTCTAAACCCTGTAATTTTCTTTGAAATCCGCAGAGATATTTCCAACATAAAAAAGGTAATGTTTACTCGAACTTGTGTATGGTTTGATAATTTAATTTCATGTTGCTGACTAACTCAAGCTTTGCGCTCGCAACATAAATAATTAGCTCATAATTTTCTACTTAACGCGCCGAAAGAAGTATAATTTCAAAAATCGTTGAATTTATTGCATTTCATCATCGTTTCGTTTCTTTGCTTGTGACAAGTTGTACGAATTTAGACAAACTTGAAAATCAATAAAACAAATGGTCAATAGATGGAGCCTACCGCATTATTCATACCTTTAACGTGTTCACACCAAGACATTAATTTCAAGCTTTGTGCATATTTTTCATTAACGGACCGAACAACTGCTGGTTAGAATTAACTACGGGTCAGTTAACAGCGCATTCAATCCGTTGTTAACCTCGCAGAATATTTCCAAACGGCCTCATTGACAGCCCAATTAACCAATAAAGTTATTAAGCCGACCGAAAAGAAATTCGCCAATGCCGGCCAAATGAAAGGGTATTGTGCTTGCCGGACCTTATCTGAAGATCTAAGCCCATTACCGACAAAGACTAATAGTAACAATAGATCGAAGTAAAGCGGCCGACTTGAAAACAACGAGTCGTAAAGAGTGGGGATCCGCCGAAGTTTACCTAAGCTACCTGTTTTTTTGTGCGCCTTAGATTTTATTAGGCCTATGACCCTATTATCTGTGGTTTCATAATTCTCTTGGTTGATTTTACTTAACAGATGGTTGCGATTTTGGGAACGATATCGGTGTTACAGGGAATTCTGCGGCACATTAGTTGATCTATTATTTTTTTATTATTATCAAGTCCAGATACCTTCAGTTTTTTCACCCTTAAAATCTCATAGGTACACAACGAATTTGTTTCTAAATTAATTTGATAACACCACCGTCAGTCTAAATCTACAACGATTTTATACGTAATATTTTTTTTATCTTCTTACATGAAAAGAAATACGGTTATAACATTTGGTTACAAACATAACTATAAAGGCAAAATATTTTTTTCTATTATTTCTTTCTATTTATTCCTTTCTGCCTTCTGTACCTTCCTCGGTATTTCTTCCTTCATGATAGGCACTATCTTTTTGACCGAATGCTCAACAAAATGAACATGTTCTAGTTAAAACTGAATTAAATGTTTGGTTGTCTACTTTAAATTGACACAACTTATTCCTTGCTTGCTTTAGTTTACTCGCCCCGGCTTCGTCCGAATAACAAGTGCAGTTTCTTAAGACTTTCCAGACTTTTCGTAACACAATTTTGCAATAAAAACATTTAAAACACTTGCTGGCCGTCAGTCTAGGTCGAGTTTTCTACCGACTTCATCTTCTGATATGATATCGATATACATATAATATCCCATTGTTGTATGCTTAGCGTTAACAATCAACTTATTGCCCTAGTCATTCTCCTTCTGTTTTACCTAGAGTTAGCTGGTAGAGAATGCAGTATAGCATTAAGTTCGCCTATAAACAACTTTTAGTGCAATAATGATTCAATAAAAATAAATGAATAATATTCCCCAAAAACTTACTTTTATTTAGAAAAGTTTAAAACTTTTGTATAGTTTGGCCTATTGCTAACTTATCCGTCCAATATAGTAACTAAGAGGGAAATCAGACATAATTATAAAAAATTAGACATAAACCATTAAAGAAATATAAACAGATTTTGCATCACTGATATTAGTTTCATAAATTTTACCTCCTCTAACTTTTGATGTTTTGGTGTCTAAGACTGATTACATTTAAACAAGACACATCAGATTCTTAATATTTGTAACTCTACTATATGTTGCATGCTATATCTTCGCTATTTTTAATACTTTGTCTCTCCTCTCTCTTCTATCAATCTATATTATATTTATAGCTTTGACAAATAAGGTATAGAATAATATGGTTAACAGTTGGGAAAATGTCACCTCTGTGGATACAGAATTAGGGCACAGTACGCCGTCCGATTGGCAGACCTCAGATTTCTTCAATATTTAAATATTTTTACTTCTTCTTAGATAGTTTACTGAAACTCACTAACACAGTTTTTTCGTGGTTTATTTTAAATTTAAACACGTTTAGAATGCTTTACAACATACATAGTCAAGTGCTGAACCGTAACATTCAAATGTGTAATATTGCTCTTAGAATACAAAATTCGACAAACTAAAATGGCAACTCAACGTTTTACGGTAGCTGATATTTCAACTCGGGCTAGATATGTAAAGAAAATTTACACGAAATAAATACAATTGTCTTAAAATTTCGGTTCATAAAATCGTGATTAATAACTAAGTAATTTGGGGTTTGTCCACCATGGAAGGAATAATCATTTATCGTCTAGACGGATAACTGCCATAGATAAACTCTTAACGAATGTTTAGTAAATAATGCCCATTCCGTAAATTTTTCATTTACTTAAATTTAACATGCCATGTTATATGTACCTTTAATGTAGGAGCTTTGTCGCCTGTTCCAACCATGTGTTGGTGTACAATAAAGTATATTTTACTTTATTTTATTGTTTTACAGTTAAATAATATTAATATATTAAATTGTTAATAAAAATGTTCGACGTTCAAAATTGTTTGATTGTCGAATAAAAAACCAAAACTTAGATCATACGAGAAACGTCTCAATGCGCGGGAAAGTCGAGAGAAGTTCTAGATAAGTTTCCCGGCCCGCCTGCTGGCCCGCCTCCCACATTGTTCATCCCTCTCGCACGTCAGCTCTCATTCACACCGCGCCGCGGTGGCTAACCACAAGCGGACGGCACGCGAATTTCTTACCGATGCTTTATTAGAGCTTATCGATAGTTATGATTGGTGAATTCGTCCATTTTTGCAAGTAATAAAATTTATGTATATACAAGATTGGTCAGATTAAATTGTTATCATTCGATCATTTCACATGATTCCCGCAATAAATAATCCCTAATAAATTATTGATGTTGCCTTGATATCGTTGATGGTACTATATTGGGTACTATATTCATGTAATTATGTATAAAAAAGCTGGAAATGTTTTAATATTGCAAAAATTCTCAGTCTAATTGGATCAAATCTTCGCAATAAAATACGTCATTCAATAATACAGATAATTAAAATTTCTCGCATACCCCACTGGTATGGAGTGCCACCCGAAAGCCGCGGAGTGCCGGCGTTCGGAGCGCGAAAATCATAATTTTTCATGGGCCCGTTGATAGGTTTTCGCGCTGGCCGCGGTTTCCCGCCGCCCCGTGGCCTAATTACCGCCGCCTCGCGATACGTCACCGCGGCGATTCGAAAAAATGCGGGCGTCCCTCTCGCACGCGGCCGTCAGCCGCTGCTGCGTCCCTCTCGGACTGGCATTTTTATAAAAACGCAGGGACCGACCGCGGCCGTCCCGCTCGTTCCCGCCGCGGCGTCACGCTGCCCGCACCCTTCGTCTCCTTCCCGCTTTTTACGAGACGCCGGGCCCGCCGCCGGGTGGGGGGCGGCGACCGCGCGAACGCAAAATATTGACCATCGGAAAAAGTCGCCGCGTATCGCCTCCATCAGTCGAAATCGGGTAAGCCGCGTGCACGCGTCCCAGCGCCGCAACTTCGGCTGCGCGTCGTGCGTCTTCGGCCCGCGGTCCCATTTTTCCCGAGTCCCCCGCCCGGCGTCTTGCCCGCGCCCAACAAGTGGCGTCTAACGCTCGCTACGCAGTCACACTTCGCACAACTTTCTGCGGCGCAGCGCGCGCCCCGCCGCGAGTTTGAAATTCGAACGCGCGCTCGAAACTTTTGCGACCGTTGCTCGTTTGAATTGTTGCGTGTTCTACTTTTGTGGCGTTCGGTGTTCGCGCTTAATTCTGGAGTCGATGCACCTACCGCACGCGAGCCCACCTGCCCTAAGCATGGCTGATGTATACTCGCACATTCACGAGTACTACAGGCAGAGCCACGGCGAGCTGGTGCAGACCGGATCGCCGGCTGTTCTGTGTTCCGCGTTACCTGGACATTGGCGCTCGAATAAATCGCTGCCGGTTGCGTTCAAAGTGGTCGCTTTGGACGACGTCCAGGACGGCACGCTGGTGACCATCAAGGCTGGGAACGACGAGAATGTGATGGCCGAGCTGAGGAACTGCACGGCGGTGATGAAGAACCAAGTCGCGAAGTTCAACGACTTGAGGTTCGTCGGCCGCAGCGGACGCGGCAAGTCATTCACGCTGACCATTACCATCAGTTCGTTCCCAAGCCAAGTAGCTACATACTGCAAGGCAATAAAAGTCACCGTCGACGGTCCGAGAGAACCAAGAACTAAACAAAGTAAGTAGCCATTATTAGCAATACCAACAATATTTTAAATGTACACTATGTTAACTTTCAACATTTTTTTTTCAAGTTGACGTTACAATTAGCCGTTACATTTAGCGTGGCAAGATAAATAAACCCAGCAGTATAAAGCGCATCCATCACATTAGTACTCACGCATGCAACTTTAAAAGCGTCATTTATCATAGCATACATATTAATCCATCACAATAGATACAACTCTGAAAATCACGAAAATACATCAAGCGAACGCAATATAGTTCGTTTTTTTAAAACACCCGTAGCTTCCATATGTGCAGACATTCATAGATACTGTTCTTATTTTAATTTAATATTAAAATTCGACGATTTTAATTTTTTAAAAATAAAAATCAATAATTTTTTTTTTATTAATCCCTCGTTTTCCGAGGCAATGCGCGCGCGCTGGCGAGCCGCCAGTCCGCAGCGCCGGGGCCAATTCTGCGGCGCCGACTGTTAACCGCATTCGGGCCGGTTTTATTTTCGATCTGGTCGAACGAAAATCATATCGGTCGTATATCTCCGCGGACGTGTCACTTTTCAATAGTATTTGTTTTCGAAAGAACTTCACGGCGCCGTAACTTTCCATAACGCTGTCGATCATTTCGAAACTATAACCATTGCATCGTTCGAAACGCATCAATGGAGTAAACTTTAGATGCCTTTCATTAGCAATGGTAAAAGCAAATTATATTCGTTTCTGATCGAAAAATTGTAGCGTTTGAACTGTTGTAATACACAAAAAACTTTATTTTTATAGTGTACCACCAAATAATATAGGAACACATTATGCATCAAACCTTAAGTACTTGCATGCCAATATGGCTTGTGTGCACTATAGGAAATAAGTTTGCTCAGTATAATTTTGCAATAAGCACTTAGCTTATGGTTAGGGTTAACTATATATCTTTATCTTTTCAGTTTTTCCATGGTGAAAATAAAAAGTACATATCTAATTTTCCAAATACATCTTATAATACAATACTTATATCTTTCTTTGTCGTTACTCTAACTTTGCGTTTTACTCTAACCTTGTGTTTTAATTAAAACTTCACTATTAAACGCTAATCAAATCGTTACCCAACATCAAAAGAAATAAAAAAACCTGAATACGTCCATAACGAAATCATAAGTCATCAAAAACATTCGTCTATTACTAACTAACAACTTTTACGGCGGCTCAAAAGCCTCGTCTGCGTTGAATCGGAAAAAAAAAAACAAAAATTCGGTAGCGCGCGGTCACCGTCGAAATACACTTCGCGTTGAAACGAATCACCTTGATCCGTCTAATAAATAACAAAGAACGCGTTCGAGATTTCGCGTAAATTTCAAACATGCACGGCCACGCTTGTTATATTTCAAAGGCAGCGACTGCAATCGTACGAGAGCTGAGCATCACTCAATCACGCGGACGTTAATTGTGCGCTCAGTTTAATCTCGGAGCAGCGAGGAGCTATCGTTAAGACGTCGGATGGGTCCGTCCGAAAATAGTTGTCGATTGTTTCCCCGCTTTTACGAGACTGGCAACTTTAAGTAATGTGTTTTGACGTTGGGCTTATAAATGGTTATTGGTTTACGAGATCTTCGGATGTGCTTTAGGAACGTCGCTCTGACTGAAAAGTAACTGCTCCTCAGTTACTTTCCCTTAATCATCAAACATTACAATGGTTGATACAAAAAAAGGTAGTCCACAGAAATTTTACCATAAACGAAAATCAATTAAGTTACATTTTGCATAATTTATAAGTTGGGAGTCGAAAAAGTAGAACTTTTGGTTGCGGATCTCTACGGTCTAGTACGGAAATTAAAAAAGTAAGTCATAGATATATTAACTAAAAAATGTATAATCATATCTTCTTGAACACACGATGTAATGTTTTCATAGAAACTTTTCTATTAAACCCTATTAATTCGCTAAAATGCGTTAAACAGTCAAACACTCAAACGATTAGAAATATTACAATGAATATTCAAAATTCAAGTGAATACAGAAATGTGATCATCTGAATTTTGCCATTTAATTTGCAATCACAGAAAATGCACTTAACTCGCTTATTGGCCTGTGACTGTTTCATCAAATTGTCGAATAGCTTGTCCTTTGTTAAATGAAGCCTAAACAGTTTTCATAATGGTAAGTTTTGCTAAAATATTAGCTGAGTAAGAATAGAAAATTAATCAAATAGTAAGAAAGCTCATTTGGAGTTGGCATATTCGCTAAGCAAAAAAGCTTATATAAAGAAAAAATAACCTCTACTTTTATTACAGAAAGATAAATACATCATCTAAATAATTATGTAATAATTGTACAAACTTCTTTGTTTTTTTTTTTTTAAATCATCTGATTACTAAAAAAGAATAATAACAACAGTCGAACGATAGACGAATCGCGCGGGGGAATCATAATATTTTGACACCACAAATCTATTCCCGTCCCTGCGACGTTCACAGAGGCCGTCTGTATAAACAAACCGTCGCGCCCAAACTTCGGCCAATAATAAAAAGACAGTATGCGGAAAAACTAACATCCTCGAGCGATAAACATCAAAGGCGAACGGTTAATATGGTGATCAATCGGCGCTGCTAATGGTCGCTACGGCGCACTAATTAATGTCGGGAATAAAACACAGTCGTCATGACTTGCGCCGCTCCGCGTAAGGTGGGGTCACATTAGCCGATTTTTTCGCGGAAACTAAAACCAAACCTTCCCCGTGACGATGGATGCTGCGAATTAATTGAAACATCGGCAGACAAAATTTATCCATATAACGAATTCACTGTAATGTGATTAGAACTTAGGACGAATGAAAAAACATTATAAAAATAATGTTGAGAAAGAAAGGCTTATACAGTAAGAGTGTTACTAGGCAACTACTTAAATAATTATAATGCTCTATTGCAGTGAAACATCAATGGTAAAGGCTCATACTCCTACAAGCGTCGTAACGATAGTGAATTTAGCGTCATTCTTGCTTGACTTCAATTATCTTAAAAAGACTTTTTTTTAAAGGCGATTTCTTTCATGTCTGCCGTTCGATACGCGATTATATTAACTAGCTGCGACTACGTCTGCTTAGAATATGCTGAAGGCGTAACATTCAGACAGAAAGACAAACATATATAAAATATGTAAATAAATTAAAACTGAATCAACACTGAACTGAACTGAAACAGACTGAATGCCTATGTCTTATTCTGATGTATAAGCTACATTATTGTAAACTTTCATTAAAATCCATTCAGTAGTATTTGCGTGAAAGAGTAACAAACATCCATCCATACATACAAACTTTCGCTTTTATAATATTAGTAAGGACTAGACAGCACGAGAGTGCCTTACGTAGTCGGCCACTAAACGAAGGATTGTATGCACAAGCCTCGCCTTCCGACCTCGCACATAAATCTTATGCACACGCCGCGTGCTCCGAGATCGACAGACGTCTACTGTCATTAATCTTACAAATGAACGTACTATTTGTCGGGAAACCCGACCGTTTTCATAGGAATAAGCTCTACATAGTAAATACATATGCAGTTTCTGTGGTAAAAATGTATACTGTGCTAAAACTAAACTAACATTGTGTCAAATAATGTAAGCATAAAGTTTTAAAGTATTACAATGCAAAGTAAGTAAATACATAACGAACACGGCAAGACGAAGGTACACCAAGCTCTTTCAGCGTAGATCTGACAAAAATAAATAACCGAATGCTTAATGGTAGCCCAGGTTAAGAATGATATAAGAACGTTAAACAACTCAGTCTTTATAATAACATAAATATAAGCGGTAAAATGTTATAGGCTGTAATTCAAAAACAAATCGAACACGAAATCCAAAATAGCTTCAATTACAATAAGAGTAAAAGTCAAAGTAAGATGCACTATGTTAAGTAAAAAATACGCACAATGGTTCAGAGTTGAAACGGTATTAGTAACGTAGATGCGAGAAAACCGTCAGCGTCAAACACGAAGCGATGGATGCGGCACTTGCAGCGTCGGCGGTTAGCGAGTTTCGCGGCGCGGCCACGGTCGCAGTAACAGATGTAAACAATATCGGGCCCGCGTCGTAAAGCGCCGTTTGATCTGCCCGCCAGCACCCGCCCGGAGGCGGCCGCCTCTATAATGTGGGTTTTATGTCGCTCCTAGCTGCCGAAATGCCACATCCACCCAGCGACCCTCATAACCGGCTAGGAGTTAATTCGAGAAATTACTGTTGCGGACGCCTCCCCCGCTGTTCCTTACGAGCAGCTTGCGCCTCACTATTGTGGAAGTTTGCATATATTGGTAACTAAGGAATGAGTTGAAACTGCGTCCTAGCCGGACTTTCGTAAGGCGAAACGGATAAACGTATGGTTAATCTCAGCTTGCATTGAAATAATGTAACATTATAAAATTCGAAGGAGTCTCCTTAATACTATGTACCAGGTTTAGCAACAAGGATTTTTCTTTTTTCCCACTCGCATTTGATAGTTAGGCGTGTCGGAACAATTGGAACATCTGGAAAAGTCAAACGACGTAACTTATCCCACTAACCAATCTTCATAATAAAAATTAGTAAAGAGATTTAATGACACAGTTGTTATTTATTAAATAGCATACTATTTTGATATCATGATTATTTGCACACTAAGTTTTAAAATTTCTATCTAAATATTTTATGAAGTGGTTATATAATTATATGTTTTGTATAATCTCAGTGTGGCTTTAAAAAATGAAGCAACTATTATTACGGCTTCATTGGGCCACGATGTATTTCTTCTTCGAGGAATATTAATATTACCACTTGCTAAAATTGCACAAATAAAATATTATTGGTGCAATTTTTCAAGTTTCTATCAATTAGTCAAGTTTCTACGAAATAAACTCCGTGATTATCAAAACGTGCACGTGTTCTCAAAACATTTACAGTCCCCAACACTTTGTATACTAAGAAACTAACTCATAGTTTCAAAACGGGAAAGGGATAGAATAGTTACGTAACGCTATAGTTTTTAAACGCAATTTGGACCGTCTAAAGAACGAAATAATAAATAAGGGTGAGTGGTAACCACGACTAATGATCAAGGACCTCCGATAGACCCAGTAGAAACTAGTCGGTACATACATCGATTTAACGTAAGTTCACCCGTATTATTATTTACTGTCTCACAAAACTTTTATTAATTTATAATTCAAAGAGCGGGTGCTACATATCATAACCCGCCTCGCCGCCGCGGCCCCAAATTATCATACGTTTATTGGGCGCCCGGCACGTCTCCGTCGCCTAATTTACGAGTGACAAGCGCTCACATCTCATTCCGGTTATTTAATGCTCGTTTTGACACTTGTGTAGGATTGTTCGTAACGTTCATTGTGGACGAGACCAAACTGGCGGGGAGTTTGATACGGAAAAAGTAAAGTTTGACAGCTAACGTACTGGTATGATAGATTTTTTTGTTCACTAAAAAAACTGGCTAGTGCTTGACTGTTATATCATCTGATGAGAAGAATATTCGTAGTTGAAGATTCGGGATAAGCGAGAATTAAACCAGTTTGTTACGGAACCAACGGCGTACGCTTCTAAATCCGAAACAATCGATCAACTCGCAACACGGAAAGCGATACCGTGCAAACGGAAACACGCGCGGCTCATTGTGCGTCGGGCCCTAACGGCTGGCGACTTGTTCAGAAACGCAACGGTTTCAACGTCACCAACACTCGCCCTACGCATAGGGCCGGACAGGGCTTAATTGAATGCCAGCATTAACAAATGGAGTCCGCCGTTTCCGAGTTCCATATTTAACTTATTGTTGTTCCACAGCTCGACGCCCGAATCGCCGCATGGCGGGGAGGCGGGTCATCCATCACGCTCTTAATTTAAAATTCCCGCGCAAACGTAGAACAAACGTGTGTTTACGGGGAGCGATCGACAAACATTCTCAGCGTCTAAACATCCAAACACCTGATGGTTTACGGCCGAACGCCATTATCCGTACCGATTTAGGCGCTCGTGATGAGCGGGCAGCGATAAACCGAACACAAAGGGCCGCCTAGCAGTCGCGTTTGTCGCGAAGTGCGCGCGAGTGCTCGTAAAACGTTAATCCCGGCGATAAAAGAATCGATACACCTCCGATCGATCGTACCTACGCGCTGCGCGGAGAGCTATAAAACCAGAATAGACGCTAGCGGGGTCTTCAGTAGGCTATCGATTAAACAAATAAAAGTGCGTTTCGCCGGCCCAAACGCGAAAGGCAACGTGACGTCGGCGTGTCGTAAAAACGTATGGCACAGAGCAGCCGGCTAACTAGCAGTAAACCGGCTCATTCTGTACACAAGCCCCTTGTTATAGTCGACTGGAGCGGTAAACAGTGAGCGGGCATGTCGCCGCCTTTACTGCCCTTTGTGAGATGTGATTGCGACTTGCGGACGCGGAGCAAGGCCTGACGACCCCATCGCTTATGCGTTACGGATGTTACACAATCCGTTTTGGTTAAATGTTCAAATTCTGTAACTGACATTTTCATAAATTACGAAAGTAGAAGAAGAATTAACAAAAAAATCTACTTGATTGTTTCGCGCAAAAAATTTTTTATTCTCAATGACTGAGAAATGTTTTGGTGTACTATTATTTAATATTCTGATAGAAATAATAAGCGAAATAATATCCAGGGCCGGATTAAGGGGAGGGCAACCGGGGCTACAGCCCGGGGCCTCCACAAAAGTTGGGCTGAAGATAGAGACTTCCGAAAATAAATAATTCAAATTGAGACTAGTAAACACTAGTAAACAACTTTTCCTTTCATGTTTTTTTCGCTTTTTATCTTTACCTGAAGTACATATTACATGAAGTACACATTACAGTTTATACAAACAAGATTACATTAAATATTAACAGAAATCAATGGAATATAATTTGGGGCCAAGGGGCCTCCACTCCTTTGTGGTCCGGATAATATCAGCACAACAAATAACTATAATAGGTGACGATATTTCGACGAATCTTTATATAATGTCATCTTTATGTAATCTTTATATAATTTCAATACATGTTTAGGTATATACATAAAATTGGAAAACTATAAACTGAATAGTTGGAAACAACAAAGTTGAAGTTAATTAATTTTATACACACAATACTTTCTTGCGAAAAATTTGAGTGTCTGAAGCAAATCATTAATTGAAACTTCTTGTTACAGATTACGGATACGGTCATCCCGGTGCCTTCAATCCGTTCCTGCTGAACGCTGGATGGTTTGACGCTGCGTACCTCAACTACGCGTGGGCGGATTATTTCAGACCGCCGATGAGAGAGCCTGCCGCCACACTCGTTAAAGGTAATATAATGTTACCGCATAGCTGTTAAATAACTTCATTCGTTATTAAGCAGTTGTCGCTTGTTAATTATTTCAGTTGCTCTTTGGTCCACTTCATAACATTGGTCAATGTCTTTCGTTAAGCTTATTTGTGGATATCTAATCTCATAATAATAAATAATAATAAATATTTTAGGACACATTTTTACACAACATTTTCTAGTCCCAAACTAAGCAACGCTTGTACTATGGGTACTAGAAAACTGATAAACATACTTGAACATACTTTTCTTTTGTAAATATATACATATTATAGATATATAAACACCCAGACACTAGAAAAACACTATGTTCATCACACAATATTTTTTCCAGTAGTGGGGATCGAACCCACACCCTCTGGCGCAGGAGGCAGGTAAACTAACCACTACGCCATTCAGGTCGTCAAAATGTCATAGATACTAATGTCATACTTCTCATATTCCTAAGTTCAACTTTATACATTTATAGAGTAGGTGAAAGGGTGTAATAACAATCATAGTTATTTATTGCTATTCAAGCGTATCCAATTATGTCCCGTTAATTATGTTTTATCTCGTTATAGCAACATTTCACTCGTGCAATATCCGCATAAACGTTCGGCATTTTAAAGTACCGCAGTAAAATTAAGGTGTTAAATAAAGATATACATACTTACATTTTATTCAATAATTGACAACAGTTAGAAATAACTCATAACTCAATAACTCATTGCTATTACGATTTTATACGCAGATACAAAAAAGATATCATACAAACATTCTGGAAACGGTTCCACCGGTCCCACCTAAACTTCCAATCGACGGATTATTCGGCATCCGTTAATTTAAAAATTCCCGATTCGGCAAACAACAGCCGAGAACACGCTGCTCGCATCGCCCCTCAAGGCCGTACAACGAAGCGGCTCAAATAAAAGAAACAGCTCTTGAGCATTGCAAAACAACGCGCGGACCGTGGCTGGGGGGACGTGGGGGGCGGCCCACGGAAAACGGCCAAAAAGTCCACGCCTTCACGTCCGAGAGTGTGGAGTCAATTTTATTCCAATGTAGGCGACCGCGCCACCGGCCACTTTTTGTTTCCGACGCCGTAACGCGAGGAGCGCCGCACTCAAACACCTACCCGGCTTTTATTAAACCTACGTTAGGCACCCGCACGGCGGACCTCACTTGCGAGTTTTAATTATCCGACCCCGCGTCACTGTGTCGACAAGAATCACGCGCGATGAGTGCCCTCATTTCGCACCGATAACGAGTCCAATTAACGGCGGCACGAGGTGAGGCCCTAAAACTAAATGGCTTCTGACAATTAAAATAAGTTAGTACAGGTTTCGGAAAAATAACTATGCGAGACGATTGCGATACTGATTGAAAATAATGTTTAAAGCAAAGCAGAATCAAATCCAACGACCGGGATCACCTCAATCAGGCGCGACGCCGATATTGGCCCCCGCCCCGCCAAATTACCCCCTAGTTACGGCCCCACCCACCCTCGATGCCTTTTAAAGTGGTCTGCACACTGCCACGGCTGCAAATATAAAAAGTGCAAAACAGAAAACGAACGCTGCACCACCTCCGAGCTCTTTGTGGCCCAATCTGCGCCTCCATCGTGTCCTTTTATGTGCGAGCTTCTCTTACACGCTCTCCAGAATCAAAGCTCGCAGCAACAGGAACTTTTCGAGCGGGGCTAATGAGAATTTCACGTTTCGAGCTCCCTTTGTTCACGCCGGGCAGATAGCGCCGCTCCTTATCGCTGCGCTTTGTATCTCTCGCATGTACCAGATACGACACCTGACGGCGTGCCCGGCATCGCTAATGCGCCTTTGCGACACAGGACGTATCGGGCTGAATTACGTGCTCCGTCCAGGGTTGTAAAGGACGATGTCGCATTCGGATAAATAAACGCTGCGCCCTCACCCTCGCGTAATGTCGCGCCGAAAAAACATCCCTTTCGACGGAGCTGCCTTAAACGCCTACAGATTGTACATTATCCTTAGTGCGATTATGCACCCTCGTCGTTCAGGGAGTTGGCGGAGTGCCTGCGGGCTCTAGTCTATCCCCCGGGAGTCGTAGCTCATATAACGTCATATTGGCAAATCAGGCAACAGAAGGATACCAAAGAGCATGCTTTATTATGCATTACCAATTGCCGTGCACCAATGGAATATTAACGAAGTCTTTCCTTTCAACAGGTGCCGCCCCAATGGCCACGCCACCCGTGGCCTTGCCAGGTTCGGAACTGTTTCCATTCCCACCGGCGATGACCAGTTTGCCACCTGGCGGTCTATTACCACCACCTGGTGCATTCCTGCCGCCAAACGGACTTCTGCCGTTCGCGCCGCATCCGGCAGACTTGGCGCTGAAATCGTTACCCCCCGAGCTGACCCTCAAAAACGGCGTCAATCCTTACGAAGCTCTGAGACAGTTGCAGAGCAACGTATCGTCTATGGACACGTCCAGCGCCCGCTTGTCCCCAACAAGCAGTAGACAGAGCGGGAGCCCAAGAAGTATTGTGAACGCTAGTCCCAGATCGAAAGCGGATTCGAAGTCAGAGGTCAACTCAACCCACGAGGCGACAATATCGGATGAATCCGACGAAGAGCCAATCGAGGTGGTGAAGTCCGCTTTCCACCCAACCAGACCGGCTAACGTGGAGCTGCAGGAAATGAAACAGGTACAGGCAGCCGATTCCACGGTCTCCGACCGACCAAGGCTACGCAACGATCTTAAGGCACCTTCATCAAGGGTGACAAGAGTTCTTTCTACCAGTCCCAAATCTACGAAAATCACCAATGGAACAATACCGACCCATAAATCAGTTTGGCGACCTTATTGAAACTCCAAAAGCGTTTAATTTTAGTCAGTCTCCAAATCAGAGACTTTGTTGAAATGTGATAAATAATGAGCTTGTAAATAATAGAGATCAGATATTTATTATTAGAGTAGTAATCGCGCCCTATGCGCGAATTTTTAATTTCGTTTCTGAAATATTTAAAGTCATTATCTATTAGGAAAAATGTGTAATAAAATAGATGAATTGTTATTAACCTTGTTAAAGCTTACCGAAATAGAGATAATTAATTAATTATTAAAGTTTTAAAAATATTTTCTTGGTATAGTTTAATGGATACAATAATACGTTAAGTATAAACATAAATAGTCATGTACAAAGGGAAGTGAAACGACTGATAACTTTAATTGTAAACATCCTTTTAAATAAATGTGAGGGTGTAAATATTGTTAAATGTATTTATTGATTAATCAATGTACATTACCCGTTTAGCTATTAAAAATGTAAAAGTGTATATATTGTAGATTTACTCGAGAGATAAAGATGATACTGGCAAATTAAACCGCATTTCATTATGACCCTGAAATTCTTAGTATACACAACTGTAAAAACAAGCACGTTAATAAAACTACTATTCGGCTGAATTCGCGGCCTCGTTTTACCATTATTACAATACAACGTGCAAACCAGATGTTTCAAACACACATACGAGATAAATATTTTTTATTTTTATTACTCAATAGTTCAACTAGCTGAAGCTTCAGTGAAATGTTTCGAAGACAAAGTTATGACAGAATTCATTAATATATTAAGGCTAACGTTAATTGGAAAAAAATGTGGTGAAATTTTGACGCAATACTATGTTTTATTTCGATATAGGAAACGTATACGTGTCGTTCTCAAGCGTCCAAAAATTAATAGAAATGATATTTATTCGAATATTAAAAAAACCTTAGACATTGTAATAAATAAAAGAAAAAGCTTTGTTATTAGGTTGGACCTAAAGCTACTGTCTATCTTCACATAATTATATCGATTCTTCTTCCAATTTCCAAGTACGTACTTATACCAAAAGCTCAATAAAAAGAAAACGTCACTTATACATATCTTTTGCTTTATGTGCCAAACGGCTTAACTTCTGAAAGGCGATTGGTTTTTTCGAATAATTAATTAGTGTGAGTGTGCACAACTGTGTATTCACAACTGTAACTATGTTTCAACTAATAATTAGTTAATAAATTTTGTTACGAAGGAACACAAAAACAGATCTAATTTTAGCTCCTATAAATAACGCGAATTATTTTTAATTATATTTAATTTACACTTACAAAACGATATTTAATAGTTTATATGCTATATGAATTTACAACAACACTTAATCAACATTAGGTTCTCATATTAAATTTTTAGCTATATGACATCTATTAAACTGGCAAATTATTAAAGAACGTTAATAAATTTGTGTTATTAACGTTCTTTAATAATTTGCCAGATAATTCCAAGTGGCAAAGTTACAATGTACAATTAATTTATGCATCCATGTCAATCTACATATTATACTATTAAATAATTAAAATCATAATAGTAAATTAATTCAATAAATAGTAAATTAATTAAAATCACTCGTAAGTAATTATTTACATTCATTTAAATTTATCTCAAAAAATGCGTGATTTATACGCAACTCGTTTATTTTACGCGCGATCATTCATAACTAACACGCACACATCAAGTTCTTGCACAGTAAAATTTAAGTATTTATGAATAACTACCGCATTGTCAACACGTTCTGTTTTTTAGGGAATAGAATGGCATATTTTTTTTGGACAAAAAGGTTTGTTTTTTATTTCAACAAACGGTTATATTACCGAGTCTGAACCTCCTGTGTAAATTTGGCCACTTCTCAAAAAATCTCCCTGTTTATCATAAAACTCTGCACTGATCTAAACGCTGAAAAGCAGACCAGACAAGTAACTGAAAGAATGATGAACGTCGTAGAATAGAATGGAAATATTTTTCTAGCCAGAAATAAGATATAGAAATAGGAATATTTAACTGATAAAATATTTCAATTTTATATGTTTTTTGGTTAAAATATACTATACGAAATTCAGAAATAAAAAATTTATGTTTTATAAAATAATGGTAGATCTATTAGTTCTGAAATATATTCTATGATTATTTAATGTTTAAGATTTTACTGCCGATGATGACTTTACCTTAGTTTATTTCTAACAATAAAATGAATTAATTCTTTCAAACAAACTACTTTACTGTACTTCAAGGGAAAGAAAAACAAAATTTAAATAAATTTATAACAATACAATACGCGGCCTACCACTAAAATTATATTTTTAGTGTTAATCTCGTCAGCCAGTAAACTCCAGAGACCGGTTATTATTGTCCATTTTTCTACAAAAATTTAAGTGAAGATTACATTTGAAGGGAATAGCAGTATAAAAATTAATAATGTCATTTCTGAACCGCCATCATCACACATTTGACCTTCGGATAAGTCCGGACTGCGTCACGCGGTGCTATACGTCTGTGTGGCGGTGGCGCTATCAATTGTGTTTGCGCCCTAGCTGATCCGGTTAGCTGATTGCAACGACCCGCCGCCCAGCCCCGTCCCGCGGTCAGCCACTCCTCAAACAAGCCAGGCCAACCCTTCCGGGCTACTGGATGCGGCACTGAACATTTGATAATCGGCATTCGGCTCAAAAGAGCCGTGATAGTTCAGTGTCCGGCCTTTCACTCAATATACTCGAGCAACCTGGGTTCAGTCTCCAGTGCCAGCACCAATTAAATTATTAATTTTAAGTGCCGAATTATCACGTGATCATCGGTGAAGGAAAACATCGTGAGGAAACCTGCATATTTTCGAAATAATAATGAAAAATGTTTCGAAGATATTTGAAGTCCGCCAATCCGAAGTTGGGCCGCGTGGTGGACTACACGCAGCATACGGGCTTTTGAAGGATGTCCTTGCCGGATACAAATGTTTATTGAATTCTTTAAGGGTTAATTTTTTGCAACCAAATTGAAGATGCGACCTTGTCAAGTGTCAAGTAAAGGTGTGTTTATATAGATAGTATGATTGTTTTTGTATGAAAAAAGAAGCAAGCTTTTACAGTTGAAACTGATCATACCTAGGAGGCGTCTTAAAAGAGGACATTAAAAAATGCTATACATGTTTTAAGTTATAATATAAGGACGTGATGCCATGACAAATTTTTATTTCTGAACCAGACTGGAAGTAGAAAAGGGAAACAAGTAATCGTAGAACTTGGGAGTATAAAAAGCTTTATCGATCACAGAGTATGGGTTATATGTATGTGTATGGGCTATTGCAAGATATTTGACTCTAGATTTTTATACTACACAGTTGTACAACCTTAAATTTTAGTGGATGCAAGTGATTATAAATGAAGAATTTTATAAGGCCATATATGGCCGAAATTTCTTGTACATTTTTTAGTTTTTCTCGGAAATTGCTCATGTTTGTTAGTCCATTAACAATCAAAACGGTTTTAATTTCATAACGGTTTTTATTTTATTTTGTTCGTTCTCAAAACATATACGAAAAATACTTTCACAAATACTTCAAACCATGTATAATACTTGCCGATAAATGTCATCAAAATACATGTCATCAATCGATATAATTTTTTAAATCTACCACCGTTTCGCAATGAGGTTCCTCTAATGTGTAGGTTTCCTCAGTATTTCTATTCTATTATATTCTATTATATCGTTTCATGTAAGCCCCATCCAGCGGGGCGTAATCTATGGCACCGGGTGAATAGAGGCTCCTCATTATGTCGAGCTTTGATTCGCATCTCACAGGCGTCGAGTTTATGATTCGCTTTTTGGTGGAAACGGCTCCGTGCATACGTGCTCCGCGCGCGGCGGCCCTATTTGGGCGTATTAAAAACCTGTGGCCAGACGGCCGGGCCCCCGTGGGCGGAATTCGAATTTGAAATTTCGTTTGAGAACGGCTCAATGGGCGAGTGATTACTCGCCTAGAATGCATTCGTTAAATGAGACCGGCGAAGATATACCTCGTGCAACGCTGTTTGTTGCGTGATTAAAACGTATAATGTGCTTCGGTGCCATATTTCTTCAGTCAAGTCACAACACTAACGCTATTTTGTTAATGACGCTAACACTAAATTCCAACGGTGCAATATTTCAAGTCAGAATTTCGACTACAAAACGCAGACAGATATATGATATACATACGTAAATAAAAGGATATACTGGACGCGACGATACACACGAAAAAAAAACCTTTAACAATAGGAAAATTCCCTTGCAATTGCGATGATAAAACCCAGATCGACATATGACATACGTACATAAATAAAAGGAAATAAGTACGCGACGACACTTACGAAAAGAACCTCTAACCTTAGCGAAATTCCGTCGCAATTGCGACGATAAAACGCAGACCGATATATGACATACATACATAAATAAAAGGAAATACGCACGCGACGATACTTATGAAATAAACCTTAAACATTAGGAAAATTCAGTTGCAATGTTGCCGATAAAACGCAGACCGAAATATGATATACATATATAAATGAAAGGAAATACTGAACGCGACGGTACTTTCGAAAAGAACCTTTAACAATAGCGAAATTCAGTCGCAGAATGATAAAAGCAGCGACGGTCGCTTTAAATATATATTTCCCGCGGAAAATCGCACTGTATCGCGGCGTAGGCCCGTTCCGCCCGCGGCTCGAGCGCTGACAACGCATATCGATAAGACCGGCCGCTTGCTTGCTTTTATTGTTTCAGCCGTTCCAGCGGAAGGCCGGCCCGACACCCGCCCCGGGCGGCTGGCGGAAAAAAATCCAAATGGACCCGCCTAATGCTCGTAGGGACCGAATTGGACCTGCGAAATATCGTGCTTTGTCCATAATACCCCGTGTGTCCGTAACGAGGTTAATTGAACGGCGCTGTTCGTATTAGACGGTGTAATAAAATGTAATATAACTTTCATTTCGATCTAAAAGCAGACGGTGTTATATTAA